ATACAGTTTCGTTACTTCATATATTCATATATAAGGAAAATTAAATAAAAAGTATATAAAAACTCCAATCACAACTAATTTAGATGTTAAAATGCCAGTTGCAAAGTAAAACATGAACCAAAACCTTCTCTTTATAAATGGACAACAGAGAAGTATGACCATTACAACGTGAACAGATTATGTTCCAAAGCGCACGAATTCCTTTCAATAAAAAAATGCAGTCACAATAGGCAGTATAATGCTTCAGAATTTTTCTAGGTAATGGAGAATAGAAAAGGTTAGATTTTTATTAAAGACGTACAAAAATACCCAATTACTCAAAACAAATACAGCATAAGAGCTTTCAAAAGGGCAAAAAAACCCAGCAGAATAAAAATTTGATGTAAAATCAGAAAAAACTCAAATTCCTCTGAATCCGAAATAAATGGCAAAACGAGCCCAAAGCCTAATTTTCTAAGCACTGAACTGTAAATACGCAGAAATTAAGCCACAAAACCAAATCTATACATCCATTGAAATGAAGCGAGCATCAAGCATGAGTCGATACAAAACCTCAATCTTTACACAAAGCTTACATATGCATACAGATAGATGCACGTACATAATAGTTTCACGAAAAAAAATCACTAAAAAGGAGAAAGACAAATATTCGTATCTGTATCTCTAATTACCTCTGCGAGCTGTGGAGAAGAAGGTCTGCGAAGCAAATCGAGAAAAGAGAAAGTTGAGAGTTTACGGAGTGGATGACAAACCCTAGGTCCGTGTCATTTCATATACGCGAACAATGAGGGGCAGTTTTGGTATTTCGGTTAAGTGAGACGTAAGCAATCTTTGAGATTGATTATAGGGATAATTGTAGTAGTAGTATCAAATCTTTCATTTATTATCAATTTTTGTTCAAATCTTTCAAAATATCGTAGTTGAAGTCCAAATTGACGATTTCTATTTATTTGACCGTTAGTTGACCAAATAATTGACATCGACAATAATTTTGATTATTTTTAAAATGTTAAAAATGGTAACTTTACATTTTTTGTAATAAAATAACTAAAATCAAATAATTAAAAATAAAAATAAAAAACTAACTTCTTCTTCTCCATTCAACCCACACATACCCTCCCCCACCCAAAAATCATGACCACCACTGTCGTCTCCACCAACGCCACTTCTATTTTCATCACCCAACAAATTTTTTCTTCCATTTCTTCCTCCACCTCTTTCAGTACAAATTTTTTGGTACCTGTGAAAGATTGCTTACAGTCCATCACCCATTTTGACCTTCAAGTTTTTCACCATTACTTCTTATTTTCTTAATTCCCTATTTTCTTGGTCTTTCAAATTCAAAACTACTTTATTTTGCTACAATTAATGGTTAAGGTTTACTTTTTTGCTCCATTATTTGATCTCTTGTTGAAGACACTCTTTTCCTTGGTTTATTGTGCTAATGGGTTTTTGATGGCCCCAATTTTCTGCCGAGTTTTAATGGTGAAAGAGAATTGAGAGGGTTATCTCTCTTTCTTCAATGTTTTTTTT